TTTTTGTTTTTTGCTTCCCTACGAGAAGATATCATCAGATTGGCGATATCCTATTGTAGGGCAGCAGTCAGACAAGGCGGTCTATCTCCGTTTGAGATAGTGCGGCAGGTCGTACTTAGGCCCTATAGGGGAACCGAGTAATGCTAAGCTTAGAAAATTAGATTAAATCTTCTGAAAAATGTATAGTTTTAAGAAGTCTAATAAAGTATTAGTGTGACTGCTTAAGGAAAAAAAAAAAAATAATATATAAGATAGAATAAGCAAATTTAAGTAAAATAGCTGAAATTATATTTTATAATTAGAAGGTTTATTCTGATATAAAGCTAAACTAAAAAATTATATAGAACTTGCTCAAGGAAATACAAGGAAAAAATATATTAGCTTAAAAAAGAGTAAAGTATTTATGTTTTATATAAAATATATAAACAAGATTCTACTTACAAAAGATATCTGTTTTTAAAAAATTCCAAATTATATAAAAGCTAAAAGTATATAATATACTTTAAAGAAGATGGAACTTTCTACTATCTAGCAAAATATAAGATCTACTAAAGAATTTAGAAAAATTTAAAAGAAAAAGCTATCTAACTCACGAGTTCAAAAATACTAATGAAACTAAATCTGCTACTTAATAAAAACTCTTTCAAAGAAACAATTTATAAAATAAAACAAGAAAAAAAGCTATACAATAAGAAAATATATTTAAGAGGTTTTACAAATATCAAATAGTTAATCTGTTTAAGTAGAGTAACTTAGTTAAAGAAAAAAGCAAACAAGGTTTTAGTTAGCTTTATAAAATACTTTTGAGAATATTTCTATAAACATCTATAAAAATTTTAATATAAAGTCATAGTAGAATAAGAGAAGAAAAATAATATTTCTATAAAATAAAAAATAAAAAAACAATAGCAAAAAAAAAAACAAAAATAAAAAAATATGAAACTTTCTAATTTCAAAAAAAAGAAACAAAAAAAAAAATTAAGAATACAGAAAGAAACTATAAATAAGGTTAACAAATAAGTAAAAACTAAAAAAAAAAAAAAAAGAGTTTAATTTAAAATTAAATAGGTAATCTTAATATAAGCTAGTAGTAGTTTCTTATTGACCAGAAGCTCAGAATTTATAAAATACAAATTAGAGTTTCTGCAAGAAAAATTGTTACTGCAGCAAATTATATATAAATATCTTAAAGTAGTTAAATGAGTTTAAAATAGTTGAAAGAGAGTATATTATTATGATTTTAGATAGTAATTTACTTTTTAGCTAATATAAGCTTTTTCTAAATAAAATAACAGACAAGATTGCCAAAAAAAAATAAAAATAAAAAAATAAAAATAAAAACCTAAATATATCTTATTTGAGATAATTGAGTTTTAATTACTTGTTTTGATTTTTAGACTAATCTAAATTAATTAAAATTTTATGATTTTGATTAATTAAAAATAACAAGCAACTAATAGATAATCTCGTGATATACTTAGCTTTAAGTAACTTTATACAACTTTTATTTTACATTATCTTGATTTTTTATTATCGTTATACAAATCAACTTTTATTTATAATTGAAAAATATTAATCATATCAAAATTTATCGAAATCTAATAAAAACTCAAAATTTATTTTTAGAGTAGTTTCTACTTTTTCTACTGCAAAGGCCTCCATATCACACTTCTTGTGTAATATAAAAAGCTAGCTTAGGCAACTTGAAGTTATAAGTTCGTTTAACGTTTACTTCTGAAGCTTCCCTTCTCAAATTAAACCTTATGTAATTGGTCAGAAATATAAGGCAGTTCGGGAATTTTCGGAAAGCTAGAGCACGTCGGAAATAAATAAATTATATGCTAATTTGAACCTAAGTTAGGATCATTCTAACCTCGTTTAATATTTAATTTTTCCTTCTTCCCTGCACAAATAGCGAAGAAGGAACACGAACTTAAAAAAGAAAGGATAATTTTGGCTGTGTATAACGTTACACGGCGTTAAAAATATCGATCGATCTAAATAAATCAAATTTTTCATTGTTCCTCCCCACTAATACTATACGTAGAAGATCTCCCATACGACCCGGGTAAAAATTGTTAGTGTATGGTTACTGATATATGAGGTCTTTGCCTTGAAAATCAAGTTTGGATCATATGATTTACTATGTCCTGTAGGTCATTTTCAAGGCAAAGACCCCATATAGTAAATTACCCGGATAATTTAATAATGCCTATAAAATAATAAAATAGTTGATTGTACCCAAAATGATTATTTTTTTTTTTTTAAAAAACAAAAAAGCCATTAGCCATTACACTATACGTATACATCAATATTGATTAATAATAAATCGAAAGCAACCTGAATTGACTAGTTTTTTTTTTTCATGTGAATTTTTTTTAATGAATTTCAATCAAGCCCCGTTAGCCTCTTACTTGTACATGCAAGTTTGTCATAGACATACAAAAATCAGGAAAATTTAATAACTAAAACTTTATATATTACTGTATTATATTACTATATCTGATATATTATTTTATTACGGTAATAACGTTAACTTTAAATTATATTAAATTATCGTTATCGTTATGGTAAATATACCTAAAATGCAGATCAAGAAAAAAAAACATTGAATTATGCATATTATATTTGGTTTTGGGGTTTTTTTTTCTGTACAAATTTTTAACAAAAAAAAAAAAAAAATGAAATTATCTTATGTAAAAGAGAATATTAACTAACAAGAAATAAATCTACTCTCAAAAATGTATGAAGTAAAATTCCAAATAATACAAAACTGAATTTGATCAGAAGATTTTTAATAATGTTCATATCGATATATACAATTAACCAATTTTTTTAATTTTTTGCTATAGCTTCTATTTTCCTAGAATAGTATCACGAAATGGTTCTAAACGGAACTTTAATTCCTTTAATACTTTTGAAGAAGGGTCCCAATCTTCATATAATTTCTTTAATCTGTTAATTTCGCTTGCAAAATGGGGATTTTTAATAACATTTTGGTCCTCTAAAATACCGCGAACTGACCAAGGCAAATAATATGGATTATTCTTTTGTTGTGCTTGAAATTTTTTAAGTTTTACTTGGCTTGTCTTCACTGATGGTACTTCAAAAAGATATTGTACAGCAAGTCTATAATAATAATCATAATAATAAATAAATATAAGAAAATAATGACCAATACTAGTTATCATATACACGTGTAAATGAAAAATCACCAACTTACGTGTAAACATCAATTTCATTATACAAAGCTGAATGACCCTCGCCATACAACGAACCGATAATAACCTCACTTAATTGAGTAATCAATCCATGATCCAATATACCAGCATTTCGTAATTTTATAGCGAATATAATTAGATTTATCAAGAAATCATTTTCTTGATATAATGGACCATCGACATAAATTGCACGCAGTATAGATGGATGTTCTATTCCGATAAATATCCCAGAATATAACTATTCAAAAAGAGAGATAGAAACCCTTTTAAAAAAAAAAACTAATAATAATAATAAGGAAAAAAGATAAGCATAAATAATCTAAAGTACATACCGGCACTACTTGATCATCCATCGAAGCAACATAAACTAATTTTACCCCTTTTTGAGTCACAACATTAAGAGCTTCACGATATTTTTTAGCAACAGTGCTTTCCGAGTCTATAAATTCAAAAAGTTCTCTCGATGCATCTACGTCAGGATTTCTTCCGGCACCAACAAAGTATCTTAATATATAATGTTCTTTTAGATAAGGAAATGGACCATGAGATATTCCAGCCATAGCTAACAAACATATACGTTGTTGCTTAGGATTCACAAGACGTTCTTTGATAAGTCTTGAAAGAAGTATTGTACCAACAGGAGTACCTTGTGAATGAGTTGCGACAAATACAACATCAGCTAAAGTCAAAGCTTCACACCAAGTCTTATTATATAATAAATTTTTATGTAATAATTGCTCTCTAGTTTCTATCGTTCCTTCACCTTCAAGTGGTATACAAGTGATCGCATCACTTGGTAAAGAAATATTATGCTTAGATAAATAACCCAAGACAGCTTTAGCCATCATATCACAAAATTTTACTGAAGTACCAGTTGGTTCACCTACTACAACTCTTAATAATTTAGCAGGAAACCAACCATGAACACCAATGATAGCAATTCGTTTGACATCAATAGTTGATCTTGTAATCTCATCTAACCACTTATGTAAAGTACCATCACGCGGTTTGTCAGGTGGAAAGAAATAAGAGTTTATTGCATGAAGTGCCTTTTGAACAGGAGAATCAGGATGTCTCATTGGTGTATTTATAGCAGATTCGTCAAATTTTGGCAGAACAATGCTGACAGGTACGGGTTTAACAGCTGAAGGTTTGAGTTTAGGAGAAGAATCAGAAATAGTCTGAGAAGTAGAAACTTTCTTATCTATCTCATTTTGAGTTGATACTTTTAGAGAAGTTGTATTATTATTAATAGAAGTCATTTCCGGAGTTTCGCCTTTTGAAACAATCTCAACATCTGAGATTAATTTAACATCAGATCTTTGCTTTATTTTAGAGATTCCTGAACGAGCAGGAGGTCCACTCACAAAAAAATGCAACCAAGAAGACCTATTTCCAGGTAAAGTTTGAACTAATGGATTTGGAGGGAGGTTCTTGATATTTGAACGTTGATTTGAGACGGGTTTTTTACTTGAAGAATCTAATGATGATGATGATGATGAACTAGATGTGTAGCCTTTAGTGGATGCTTGTGATGAAGTAGGAGGAGTATTATTTATAGGGGTAGATGTATTTTGTGTTGAATGATCGACTTTTGAAGGTAAGTTAATAGTAGTTGATGGTTTTGAATTAGATGAAGTCGTTAAATTAGAAGCTGGTGAAGTCGATAAATCAGGTGATGATGTTGATTTAGGGAATGTATGGGTCGACAGAGCAACATCAGATGGTTTACTATCTTCATTTTCATTTGTATTTTCCGACATGTCGGATGTAGAATAGAACCAGGTACCAAGTAAAGACCGTCGTTTTGTTTCAGATGAAGATTTTTTTATTCTCTCTGAAACAGATGACACATCATTCGTTGTTGGATTTTTCAAACCGCCGGTAATCTGTTCAGTCAAATTTGAGGGATTTTCAACGGTATTTATTTTAAGGGTTTCTGACATAGGTTCTTCGTGTTTAATATTTATGGTATCAGGTGAAGTAACTTGATCAACTCTTTCAACAGTTTTCTCGCCTGAACCATTTTCGATATTATTGTTATCATTATTATTATTCTTATCGTTATTGTTGTTATTACTATTATTACCTCCATCCCCGAATAACCTCCAAGAATTCCGATTTGAAGGTTTTGATTTTTCGTCAGATTTTTTTCGGATCACGTATACAGTGCGTCTTTCAGCGTAAACCATGTCCAAATCAGAGTTCAATATTATCTCATTTTGAGAGTTAGAATATACTAGTTTCCTAATCTTACGCTTCCGCTTCTTTTCGATATTTACATCTTTAATCAAAGAATTGTTAACAGTACTTGATGTAGAACTGTCGTCGTTCGACATTATCTGATTTTGGTTAACTTCAGATACTACGGCGACAGGGTTGATGTTATTTTCAGATACTTCAGCGACAGGATGAATATTATCTTCTAATACTTCGACGACAGGGTGGATTCTATCTTTAGAATCTTTAGATACTCTTGAGTTAATAAAAGCAAAGCTCCACCACGAATTATTATACATAAGATTTATGTGAAAGAAGATGAGTCAGATAGATCAAAAGAATTGGTACGAGGTTCTTTTATTTTATTTTTGGGGTAAATATATTTTTTTAAATATATAATAACAATAATAAAATATTTTATTATTGCGGCATTACTTGTTAATAGTAAATATTGCAATCATATGTATTTATACAGTAATACTGTACCTCTTTTGGATATTTGTGAAATGTTTATCGATTTAAGTTTGGCAAAAATGCTTTGTAAAAACAAATCATTGGACAAAAAATCCTAAACAGGTAAATTCTTTGGGGAAATAAATTTTTTGGGGAATCATATCATATGAGAATTATATGACTCACTAAATACGATTTGGCGCATAAAAAATACCATTTTTTTTTAAATCACTTTTTAGGTCAGGCAATCGGATCTTCGGGTTTGCATTATAGTTTGAGCATATAAGTGTTACCTTGCATTTTTAATTATTTTTGACACGCACGATACAAAATTGATATTCAATAGGAGTTTTCATGTATTACGTAATTATTGGCTCATGAGTAAGTTGACCTGAGAAACATTCCCCAAAAGCTAGCGTAACAATAACGTCGTACACCTGAATTCCAATTAAAATTACCGGAATTTATGAAACTTACCAACCGAAACGCAAAAAACTTCCGCATGCCAAAATTTACTAACTTATGTTGGATTTTCATTGTTGACCAATTACATTAAAAAAAATTTCAAAAAATGTTTCGTACGCACGTTATTCTTTATTACCTCTTAATTAATAATTAATTAACTGTTAAAGATTTTTATTAATTATCAATTTTGTTCTTT